TTTTATTCACCAAAGTATCCCCCAGACCTAGAACAGGTTCTGACACAGAGGTTCTAAATAAATTTCTGGAGAATAAAGGAATGAACATACTCTATTTTCATAAAATCAGAGAAAAAAAAGGATTATACATTTACTTTTAAACCCATCTTGGTCAACTCATGATCCAATGTTCCTAGCTCAATATGTTGTATATAATCTTACCAGCTAACCTTTGATCCCTATCTAGGTCTCTTATTTACCTCCAGTCTTAACAGGCTGCTTTAGAAAAATGAAAGACCAAACCCAACCAAACCACCAACAATAGTCATTCTGCAAAGGATAAAATATTAAAACATGTCCGTATTTGCAGGTCTTTTTCTTCACCCTCCCATGCAATCACCAGGTGAGTGCAGCAAAGGTTATCGGTAAGGTCTATGCTAGTTCTTAAAATGGAACACTCTGCCCTAAAACAACTCCTATAGACCCTGTGATTCAGAGCCTTTTTTTCAGTCTATTCACTGAAGCCACTCAGAATACTCCACTAATGCAGGAAGAAACCATTTTGATCGAGTCATAATCATTTTTAGTCATCTCAAGGATATTATGTATTTGGAACACAGGCAGTAAATCCACTCTCATTCTCATCCACACGGTGATGCTGGGCAGCTATAGACTACTAATGGATGCACATTTATTTTTACTATCAGGGAAGAAAATTTTCTGCAAAGCACTTATTGTAATGTATTTCAAAACAAAATATAAATGATGTAGTGACTATCTCTTCTTCCAGATCCTCTCTCTACCTCACACGGCCTCCATTAGCAGAGGTGATCAGGGGCAGGCTGGAAGTCAGGTTTGCTCATGTTTCAAAAATGTGAGGTCAGGTACCGGTGTGAGCGGTTCTGCTGATGGGACACTGTTCACGGTGACGAGCCGGTGGGCCCAAGGCTAAGGCCAAGATTCTTTCCATCAGAGAGCCCTGTGACATCACTACCACTAGATGGATCTTATTAAGGGTTTCAGAATTATTTGGAGTTTAAAATATATGACCTCCAAATTATAGATTATAAAAATATGTTTACAACATGCTAAATGTCCTTGAATAACAAAAAACAAAAAAATATCCAACAAGCTCTGAAAACTTAAATTTTCCCACAGACCAATTTTTTCCATTTGTTTCAAAAGGAAAATTCTGCAGCTGCTTACACAGCATTCTGTGGTAACGCCATTCATAATTAAATACATAATGTATACTATGATGAGCATGTTTTCATTTAAATTTTTAAAACTATTTAGCTTCTCATTTTTATTTTTACTGTATATGGCATCATACCATATATAATGTTCTGTAGTTCTTGATAATTTGTGAATTATGCAAAAATTTCTGTATCTGTATATATGGATCATTTCATTCCATTTAACTGTGTGGAGGTACTATTAATTCATTTAACCATTTACCTGTTGATGGCCACTTCAAGTGTTTATAATTTTTAGTTGTAACCAAAAATGCTGCAATAAATATCCTTATATAGCTCTCTTATGCACAGTGAATATTTCCTTAGAATAGATACTTAGGAATTTCTAGAAAAAAAAATTTCAATTTGATATGTAACTGTCAAAAGGTCCCTTAAAAAGGCCATTCCATTTTATACCATGACACTACCACCACACATCCATTTTCCAACACATTTATTAATACCAGAGATTATTAATCTTTTAAATTTCTGTCAATTTGATGAGCAATCTGATGAGGTATTTCACAATTTTAACTCATATTTCCCAGATCACTAGTGAGATGTTAACTGGCTACTCATATTTTTTCTCTTCTGTGAAATGTCTGTACATAATCTGTCCATTTTTGTTTTACCTGTAAACATTTTTATATATCCTGGATGTTAATTCCTTATTTGTTGTAAATATTGTAACTATATCCTCCTAGTCTTTCATTATTTTAATGTTGTTTATGCGGCCCATTGTCTTCTAGAAATGTAATTTTCAAAAATTTTATTTAATCAAATTGATCAAATCTTTTTCTTTGTGACTTTCACATTTTGTCTTGGCTCCATACCTCCAAGTTAAAAAAACATTCTACTTTTTTCTAAGACAGAGGTTTTGGCAGAGAAATCCCGTCTTTGTGCGGCACGGAGGAAAACAGATGAAGGCGAAGTTGCCAGGGCGGTTCCTTCCCAGCACCTCCTGCTCCAACCCCTACAGCCGTGAATTACAGGTTAGCAGCATCTCCTTCTAATGCTGTTTGGGGGAGCAAAGGGTGACACCTAGACCTGAAGGGCTGTTTTGTGAAGGAACAGTGATTAACTGAGTTCCTCTGCTGCCTGGAGCTCCCCACCCTAGGGGTCATCCAGCCCTACACAGAGCTTATGAGGTCTGACATGGACTGGGCTGTGGCCTTCCTCCATTCCAGTGCCCGACAGAATAGCTGATACCCCTGGAGGAAAATGAGCTTACAGGCCAAAATAACCAGGTATTTGAAAAGTCCAACCATTTCAAAAGAAAGACAACACAATCAACTACAGACTCTATCAGCAGAAGAAATATTAGAACTTAATGACCAGGAATTTTTAATTGGATTGCTAACTAGACTAAAAAATATATAGCAATATGAAACAAAAACAAGAAAACATAGGAAAGAGCCAAGCAATAACATTAGTTCAGATAAAGAATACAATATATGGCATAAATATATGGCATTTAAATGTCATATAAATACATGGAAGAATGGAACAAACTTGAAAACTGGACGATGAGATTGAGAAAATCTCCCAGAAAGAATAAGGAAAATACAAATAGATTTTTAATAAAATAGCTAAGACCAAAGAAAAAAAGTATATCCACAATTACCCAGAAATATTGAGATAATATTAACGTGGTGGTGGTTGTGGTGAGGAAGGACAAAGAATGAGACAGCTTCCTGTATCTAATTTCCTAAATCGAAATTTTTTTTGATAAAAAATTTAAAAAGAAAGTTAAGTAGAAATGTAGAAAAGTAGGACAAATTGAAATAATAAAGACATGAGAAATAGGTCTGACTATATAAATAATAAAACAATGATTAGTTCCAGGGGAAAGAAAAATTGTGCAAGTACATGTGCATTATACGTACACTAGATGGCCCAACTAATAGATTTACAAAGCCAAAATGTTTTGTAATATAATGTAAGCGGTGAATGTTTACCTAACCAAAATTTTTATAGACACCTGAGGAAGATGAGGACATGGGAAGGCTGCATGTATGTGGCAGGGACAAGGTAGACAAGAGAGGGCCGGCCAAGCGGCTCAGTTGGTTAAGAGCTCGCTCAAGAGTGTGAGCTCTTGGGCTGCCATGAGTCGCCGGCGACAGCGTAGGCTGCAGCCCCTGCTGCAGTGGGTTGCCATGGGCTGCCGTGTGTAGCCAGCAGCCAGCGTGAGCGGCCAGCAGCCGCCATGAGCGGCCGTCCAGAAGCCGGCGACTGATCTGCCTTGCCCAGGAAGAGCACAAAGATGGTGCCAACTTGGGCCAGTCCTCCACAACTAGACTGAAGAACAAAAGGACAGCAACTTGTCTGTTCCCCTTCCCCCAATTCCCCAGTGCTGTTCCCATCCCCCAATTCCCCAATAGAGAGAGAAAAAAAAAAGTGTGAGCTCTGAGCAACAGCGGTTCGAGTTCCCTCCCGAGCTGAGCTGCTGCTGAGCTGCCAGCTAGTGGCAGGATAGCTCAGTTATAGAAAAAAAAAAAAAGGTAGACAAGAGAGCCAAATCCTTATCTTCCAATGGGAATAAGAGCTAAAGTGTAAAATAGAAGAATTAAAAGGTGATTAAACAAGAATATCATCTACAGACATAGAGTTAAATGGCAAAACAATCTGCCATACATGAAGGGATAGTGGTTGCCTTTAAGGAGGGCAATGCAACAGGCGCAAGGATACAGAACGGCTATTCTTCAAAAACCTTATAGAAACTACTTGAGTCCTTAAACTATGTGATGTATAACTTTTATCAACATGAATACTTAAGAGTCTGAAGGGAAAGAAGAGAACACAGTATTCATAAGGGCTGGACACACCACCCTCTCCGGTTTGGGAGGTCTGGCTCTGGGAACCAGACTATTTACAAACTAAGGGAAGCAGGGCCTCTTCCCCTGAAGACACATGAGGAATTCACTGAAGACAGATTGTCCCATTTAGGGAGAAAGAACCATTCTATCTATTAAAAGGTGTGAGCTTTTTCATTCTCATTAACCTCCGGTGCAAATCTGGAGTTGATACAGCAAGTCCCATTGGGAATGCGTGTCAACTTCCTAATCCCTTCCCTCATGTGGTGGTAAAGGGGCTGATCTTCTGCCAGACACAAGGTGTGTCAGGGTGGCACCTGCCAAAGTTATTAAATTGACTTCCTCCGAGAGCCCATTTCACATCTTTCTCCAAACCTATGTAAGAAATGGTTTTTTTCCTTCCCAAAATCATCATCCCGCTCACCACTGTGACTGATCGATGGCCTGCCAAAATTTGCAATGCCTCTGCATGAAATGTACATAACATTGCATGAAGATAAGATCTTGGCAAACAGCAATGTTTGTGCTGGGTCATAGTATTTCCATCTTGCGTCATTGTCAAACACATCTTGACACACAATTGCTTTGGCTGTTCCCAAGATAGTAAACAAAAAATGTCAGGCATGTGGAATCCTGTCTTCCTGTTTCTATGATCTGAGGCAGAGCCACAGATGTCCAGCTTTCAAGCGTTTATTCCGACTCCTTGTTTATAGGTCTTGAGATAGCGTTTATCTTAGGGGTAGTAAGGAGAAAATCAAATACACAGATGGAAGGAAACAGAACAGTTCAGGAAAAGCCAACGTACCTTCAGCATGTAGTAGAAGGGCATCCAGGAGAGGAAGATGTCGGAGAAGAATTCGGCAATGCTGAACACACCATACACTACCCAGTAGGTCAGCCACTGGGTGTCATCTTCTTTGTTGGGACTCTCTATGGCTTTAATTCTGAAAGGCAATACCAAAGCAAGTGTATCATATAGTCAGATCTCAATGAAACATTTTAAAACATTATTCTTTCACAGCCTGCCCTCCAACACTAACTGAGAAACTCAGGCAAATGTATTCACCGATGTCACTAGACACAAGAGCACAACACAAATACAGGAAGCAATGTGGAGGTATCAGGACAAGTCATCATAACTACTTGTCCCCAGAGAAACCAGTACCAGCTGTCCCCTGGATCTCTACCCTGCTCGGCCTCTACCCAGGCCCGGGAGATACCAATGACTGGGAACCCAAGTAATCCCCACTTCCAGGGGGTTCCTGCCACCAGGGAAATATCAAGAATTCTTTCATGGTAACTCAGTTCTTATGCACTTTTAATAGCTGAGGTACATCATGGGTGAGCAGAAATTTCCGTAAAGGAACTGCTCAAACAGTCTAGGCTCTGCTCAAAGTCCATAACAAACAGGAAAACAATTATGGTGTCTATTTGGTTCTACAATTATGCGATTCTCAGGCTGTGGCTTCTCCTTCCCTCATCAGTTAATAATATGATTTTCTCAGTACCAACTACTGCTTAAAACAAAATTCATTCCGCAAGTAGAAATAAATTTTAAATAATCTTTAAAAAAATTTTTCATTCCCCCACCCTCCCCCTCTCTTTTGGCAACCATCAGCTTGTTCTCTATGTCTATGGGTTTCTGTTTTGTTTATTCATTTATTTTGTTTTTTTTAGATTCCACATATAGGTGAGATAATATGGTATTTGTCTTTCTCTGTCTGACTTATTTCACTTAGAATAATGCCCTCTAGGTCTATCCATATTGTCACAAATGGCAAGATTTCATTTTTTAAATTGTTGAATAATATTCCATTGTGTGTATGTGTGTGTTCATGTGTGTATATAGTGCCAAAAAAATGTATACAAGTGGACACTTTGGTAAATGTTGCTCAAGCAGTAGTTTGTGTAATCCAAAGCGTCTGGACGTTGATGGTAACAACTTTTTTTTTTTTTAAGATTTTATTGGGGAATTGGGGGAGGAGAACAGCACTGGGGAATCAGGGAAGGGGAACAGACGAGTTGCTGTCCTTTTGTTCTTCAGTCTAGTTGTGGGGGACGTTGCTTCACTGGCGCATGTTGGTATTATCATTGCACTCTTCCCGGGTGAGGCAGATCGGTCGCCGATCACTGGACAGCCGCTCACGGCAGCTCTTGGCAGCTCATGCCTGCTGCCAGCCACTCACGGTAGCTTATGGCAGCTCACTGCAGCTTTACTGCAGCCTTCGCTGTCACCGGCGACTCACAGCAGCCCAGCTCCAGGTCAAGCTGTTGTTCACCATCTTAGCTGTAGAGGGCAGTGTCACTGGCCCTAATGTGGGATCAAAACCAGGAGCCTTGCTGCTCACAGCTGGCGTCTCAAGCCAACGCCTAACCAACACGCCACTCGGCTGGCCCGATGGTAACAGCTTTGAGCACCTCTGGTAATTGCAGAAGTCAAACATGGCTTGTATTCATCTTTTGTTATAGTTATATATTAAGTATTACGATTTTAATACAGTTTTCCTTTCTTAAAATGTGTATACATTTTTTGGCACCCTCTGTATATATCCCATCCTTTTTATCCATTCATCTACTGCTTCCATACCTTGGCTATTACTAGTAATGCTGCAATGAACACAGCAGTGCATATATCTTTTTGAATTAGTGTTTTTGTTTTCTTTGGATAAATACACAGAAGAGGAATTGCTGGATCGTATGGCAGCTGTATTTTTAATTTTTTGAGGAACCTACATACTGCTTTGCATTGTGGCTGCACTAATCCCTCCTACAGTGCACAAAGGTTCCCTTTTATCCACATCCTTGCCAACACTTGTTTGTTGATTTATTGATGATAGCCATTCTGACAGGTGTGAGGTGGTATCTCATGTGGTTTTAATTTGCATTTCCCTGATTAGTGACTTTGAACATCTTTTCATATGTCTGTTGGCCATCTGTATGTCCTCTTTGGAGAAAAATCTATTCAAATCGTCTGCCCATTTTTTACTTGGATTGTCTTTTTGGTGTTAAGTTATAGGAGTTCCTTACATATTTTGAATATTAACCTTTTATCAGAGCTATCATTTACAAATATCTACTCCCATTCAGGAGGCTGCCTTTTCATTTTGTTGATGGTTCCTTTTGTTGTACAAAAACTTTTCACTTTGCTATAGTCCCATTTGTTTATTTTTTCTTTTGTTTCCTTTGCTCCAGAAGATATATCCAAGATATTGCTAAGAGTAGTGTCAAAGAGTTTACTGCCTGTGTTTTCTTCTAGGAGTTTTATAGTTTCGGGTCTTACATTTAAGTCTTTAATCCATTTTGAGCTTATTTTTGTATATGGTGTAAGAAAATTGTCTAGTTTAATTGTTTTGCATATTATTGTCCAGGTTTGCCAACACCACTTACTGAAGAGATTGTCTTTACCCCATTGTATATCCTGCCTCCTTTGTCATAGATTAGTTAACCATATAAACAAGGATTTATTTCTGGTCTCTCTCTTCTCGTCCATTGATCTATATATCTGCTTTTATGCCAATACCATACTGTTTTGAGTACTGTAGATTTGTAGTATAGTTTGATATCAGGGAACATGATACCTCCCACTTTGTTCTTTCTCAAGTTTTCTTTGGGTAGTCAGAGTCTTCTGTGGTTCTATAAAAATTTTGAGATCAGCTGTTCTAATAAAAAATAACCTTCTTTTACTTGCGAATCACAGAAATTTCTTCCAATCCTGGGAATTTCTTCATTCTAAGCATGAATTCCATATTTTTTTAATTCTATGCTAACATATATCTAGATACTTATCATAACTGGGCTGGACTAAAAGAGCAAACTAGAAGAAATCTGAATCTTGTTTAGCCCATAAGTATGGAAATACACTGGCAACTTGGTAAAATGGGTTCCCCAAAGAGACAGGATGCTGAGTCATGCTGAGTCATTCACAAGAAGGCCCCTGAATTAATTAGAAGCAGCTATGGGTGTCTATGTATGTGTGCGTGCATGTGTACAAGAATGTTTTAAGAAAACCAAGGAGAGAAAAGCTGAATGAGATGACCGTTATTGATGTAAGGAAGAGAAGGAAAGGAAAGTGATGCAGTGAATGCTGTTTTGAATATCAAGACAAGGCAAAAGTTTTCCACTTTAAATACAATTATATAAAATGAATTTAAGAGCAAATTATAAAATAATGGCTTGTAACATGCAGACAATGTCTGTGTTTTAGCTTTCCTCAGCTAGAAGCTAGCTAATATAATAGAAGGCCAAAGAAAAAGTGTAGGCAAACATGTTAACCAAAGAACTAACAACAGTACACCCTGCATACTTATGTTTTTTTCCTCTGTGCTTTATTTGTTATAGTGTGGTTTATTTATATTTCAGTGGATTTTTAAAGTTATTTGTATGATAAAATTTTGTTTCTTATTCATCTTGGGCAGAGGGGATACAATTATTTCACTTAAGGTCTTAATTTTGGTAGTTCCCTAAAGCAGTCTATGAGTAGGTAAACACACATGATCCAGTAAACACACATGTCCACACATAAATATAAACAGCTAAGCATTTCATAAAACCATTCTGATATTGTCAATTCCATTCTCTCACTATTTTTAAGACGTTAGTCAAGATCCACAAATTTAAAAACAGAAAAACTACCCTAACAGTTCAAGTTCAGTGCTTCAAGAAATAAAAAAAAAAACTGGGTAGTTCCTTAGCTTATCAACAATATGAATTCAAAAATTTCCATGTTAATACACTTGGAACACTGTATAGTAACACTGAAAAGTAGAAAGAAAAGAACTCAAAATTGAACACACATATTGGTCACAATTTTATAGAAAACCAAGGCAATAAAAGAAGACAGAAAAAGACCAGAGTCTTAAGGTGAAGAGATTTTTTTATAGAACTTCTCATATTATTATAGCATTAATTATTGTTTTAATTTAAAATAGCACAATGTTCATTTTAAAAATATGTCTACATGTCATAACATCATAAGCTAGTCAGAACAAGAAAGAACATTAAAGATAGTCTCACCCGCTCCATTCACAGTTAAGGAACCTGAGACTCAAAAAGGTAGAGAAGAGAAGGAGTTAAAACTGGGGGTTCCTGAATGCTATTTCCTTATATACTTTCTTGTCCAGGTGAGCAGGCATAGGTGACTCTTCAACAATACACTCTACTGCATTGTAAATATATTGAATCATATTTCAAGTCGTGTATCAGAGGGAGGATGTATCAACTTATCAGGCAACATAGGAGATTCAAGAAATCATAAGATAAGCTCTATGTCCTTAGGTCATTTACAGTCCAGCCAAAATGGCAAAGCTAAAGAATGGGAGGGGTAGGAGCCTTACAATTACTTAATTTAACCTTTTTAACAGCTCAATGGAATAGGTGTTATTCTCATTCTTGAGAGGGAGAAACACAGACACGGCCAGTGTGAGGAATATGGTTGGCAACACTATGAGAGCAGCTGGCAGGTCTGAAACTTCACTGAGCAGATTTAGAAATCGTATTGGGTTGTTGGCAAAGTCATGATGCATTTTTGCAGTGAAAAACATAGAAAAAGTACGCCATGACTTTTCTGATAACCCAATAGAGTGCGGAGTTGGAAGATAGCTCAGAGGTGAACTAGTTCAAATTCTACGTTTTATAGACAAAAAAAATGAAGTTACAAAAAAAGATACTATTAATAAAATGCAACTCTAAGATTATAGAAGCATGTGTTCACACGTTTTTTCAAGAGCAGCAATGGACTATTTAAATACATTTTGATGTATCCATACACTGACATATTCTGAAACCTTTAAGGAGGATATTGACAGAGAAAGATGTCCAAGATACATAATGTTGAGTGTAGAAAGGAGATTGCAAATGTTATGGAAAAACAAAACAAAACATATACTGTGTGCATTTACTATTGAAGAATGTTGTCCAGAAATAAACATTTCAAATTGTAAAGTTA